CATTTAAAATTTTTTCACGGTCATTACTCCTGTCAAAATGGTCAATGTTCAATAAAATTACAAAGACGAAAAGACAAAGCATCAACTGAACAAGATTGCTCCCCAAATTCTAAAATAGATTCCAAACGTCCAATCTCATCCGTCCGCGGGAGGAATAAGCACGAGGCAGAGGTCAAAACCCTGTGCAGAAAGTTAGGAAACTCATTTCGCTACCTTACAGAATCGCTCTTAATCCAGTTTACGGGACAATCGTCGTTCAAGCTTAAGAGTTGTAGTAAAAGAGGGGGAGTACCGCCCTCGGGGGCAGCAAACCGAAGGCGAAAACTTGGAGATCGGTCCCGATTACTCGCTCTGCCGCCCATCGAGTTACAATGACGCGACTGGTTCCTCCGCTGCTGCGAAGAGAAGAAACTCGACAGAACGAAAGCCGCGTTGAATATGCAAGGGTGAAAAGCTTCGAGAAGCCAAGTTCCACGAGCAACGGCGAGTCTCGTTCGAGTGGTGGAAACTCAACAGACGGCGCGGGGCAGCTTCACCTCGGAGGAACGTTATTCGCGGAGAGAGGAGTCGCTCGAAATAATGGATTTCTGATCTAATTACGTCGATGGAGGAGAATCACCATCGGGTTCGACCTTTTTCTTCTCTCTTTACTCGCGGAAACAGAGAGTCGTTATTGCTAGAGAGAAACTTTCCACGCGATTTCATAATCTCGATGAACTTTACCGGGAGTTTTACGGCGCATGGAACGAGGGGACGAACCGACCAACTACAATTAACCCTTTGGGAACGAGGCAGTATGCTAGCTGAATGCATATCGCGCTCGCTAGCTTTTTCTTCGAGATTATTCTTAGAGCTGGAGGTTGCGAGGGTCGGTTTCGTCGCTGTTCGAGAGAAATTTCAGATTTGGTTTCGATTCTTCAATGCCGGAAGATGAAGATTTTTGGAATTTTTTGCGTTGGACTGAATCAGGGTTTCTTGTGACGAGCGAAAAATCTTTGCTTAAAACGATCGATTCGGATGCAAATTAATTAGAACTGCTTGTGTGGGGACTGAAAAATTTCGTGGCAAGGGTGCAAAATGTTTCAGAATTGACTATGAAGATTAGTAATCACGTTGGTTGATATAGAAATTTATATAAATATTTTAATTAAAAAA